GTAAAAATTGCGAAAAGTTTGGACTTTAACCGAAAAACACTTTGCTGGCAGGTCTGAAACAGCCAAAGAATAAGTTTTGAGCTAAAAATATCATTTGAACAAGTCTATGATTCAAAAGTGTCAAGAAAATGGTCTAAGGGTTTAAAATGTCTTTTCTTTTGTATAAAGGACTAAAATTGTTATTTTTATTAAAGAAGGGCTGAAAAGGTCAAACCAATATTTTGAATCAATTATTTTATTTTAAGATATTTGAGTCAAAAGAATACAAATTTACAACTTACGAAAACAGAATGAAGAATATACCTATATTTTTAAAAACATCATTATAAACAACCGAACGGTCTCGTGCCGATCCAAAAATAACAATCGTTCAATCAAACCTTCCAACAATTATGCAATACCTAAAACAAGTAAACATTCAAACTTTGGGCTTGAAAGTTCCAATCATGCTATTTGGACCTTTGTGATCCATTAACATGACCGTTGGGCCCAAGGGATAATGGTAACCAATGTTATTGGGCCTTCTATGACCCAATTCCATATTAATGGGACCTTCAATGGCTTTTAAGTGCCATTGGGCCTTAGTGGCCCATTAGCATTGCTAGTAAGGTCCAAGTAATCAAATGCGAAATGGGCCATCGTGTCCTTCGTATACCCAACAACCTAAAATAACTCACGGAAGTAGCAGGACTTTGTATTCCTCTTCTCCTCGTTTGCTAGGCTTATGTGTAATCAAAGTAAACAAATTCAGGTCGTTAATCAATAGTAATCAAGGTGGTTTGGATTAAGTGAGTAATAACGGACGACACCTCTATGGGTCGTTCGTAGTTGGTAGTTATAACCAGTCATTACCATGCATGGTTACAACGACTCACAAAAATTTGATAACATCCGACACCACCCGAGTAATCAAGGAAGAGTAATCAAAAATCATTTGTTGTGGCGGTGTAGCAATTCGTAAACAAGTATATTTCGCGTTATCGGAAAACATCGGGTTTTTCGAGGAAATCAACACCACTCGCTTGTAATTTCTATAACTATAATACAAAACTCCCTTTTATATACACGTTTTGAAATCATTCATGCATCAACTTATGGATCTTCACACTTTGATAAACTATTGCCTTTCAGAAAATATCGGATTTTCTGGGTTTTACAAACTACACAAATCATTTTTATCACAACCTTGCTTATGAACTCACCAACATTTCATATGTTGACGTTTTTCAAAATAACTTGTATTCTCAGGTAACAGGTAAGCTGAAGGATAATATCAAGTATGTTAGGATATTATGTTTTGAAAACTCTCAAACAATTTAGGGTTGTGGATGTGTAATATTTAAAACAATGTACTGGATGTGAACAATATCAGTTGTAATGTATTGATGCATGGTGATGTTTATGTTATGATTCATGTATATTCATTGTGATGATATTCAATTTAAGTCACGCGAGCCCTCAGACGTTTCCGCCGTTTGGTTTCGGGGGTGTGACAGGTTGGTATCAGAGCTCTGTTTACAGTGAACTGGCATATCTAACCACACATTGATATGCAACTATAAACCAAAGAGGGACTAAAACAACTCTGAACAAAACAAAATAAAACACAACGATAAAACATCTTTACTTGTGCGATATAGGAAAAAGAACATAATACCAAATCAAATAAAATAATGCTGACATCTTGGTTAAGTCGGGACTGTTCTTAGTTGTAGTAAGGGGTGGATGTAGCCTGATCAACTACATTTTCTCCGAAGTACAACTATTACATACCCCGGTGAAAACCTCGATGGTCGGTAGACCTAAAAACATACCCCTTTGTTACCAAGAAAAGAACATCAACTCAAATTGCATAATAACTAAAACATATTAGTAGTAATAATAGTTTACTCATACACCTCCTCTCAGTCACCATGGAAGGAGAACACCAGGGCATTCAGTTTCATCAGGTCTTAGTGGCCCACGGGATGATCGAGGATGAGCCTGAGGGAGATCAGGGAGGGGCACACGGCGTGGGTCCCGACGAGTACACGGACACAGACTACGAGTTTGATGGGACCGACGATGACATGGACGAAAAACAAGACTCAGGAAAGGATTCTGCCACATCACCTACCAGTGAGATGCAGCAGGACCACCCCGCCCCCCAGGAAACCCCTCGAGGGAGAATCGCTCTCCGGAAGCTGAGATTGCTGCTCTGCGGCAACAGCTATTTGCCATGGAAGCACGAGCGGTGCAAGCGGGACAGGAGAGAGATGAAGTCATTGGAGAAATGACTGAGATGGCCCAGTTGTTGGCACAACACTTCGGTATATGACCTCACTACCGTCGTCGAGCGCTCCTTAGAGTGTTAGGACTAGTCATATCTATCCATAGTATTATGCTTATGTGACCTATGCTATGTACCATCGACTCTATGTTTAAGTGATTACACTACTCATAGAGTCGTTACGCTGCCGAACCTTTAATGGCACGGGTGGAATGATAACCCTAAAGAGATGGATGGAAAAAGTGGAATCGATATTTGAGATATGTGAATGCCCCGAGGAGGTGAAAGTGAAGTTCGCCGCATGCACATTCGTTGACCAAGCTCTCACTTGGTGGAATGGACATGTAGAGGCCATGACTCTCCCCGTAGCCAACGCTATGCCGTGGGCGGAGTTGAAAGAAATGCTGATGGCTGAGTACTGCCCGCGAGGCGAAATTCAGAAAATGGAGCAAGAGTTATGGAATCTCACCGTCCGAAACTCCGACATAGATGCATACATATCAAGGTTTAGCGAGCTGTCATTGTTGCACCCTGGCATGATTACTTCAGAGGGAAAGAAAATCGAACGATTCATCTGGGGATTAACCTCCCCAATTCAAGGAAATGTAATAGCTGCAACCCTGAAACATTCGACAGTGCCAAGAGGTTGGCCAAGAAACTATACGATCACAACAACAAGAAGGGCGAGAAGCCAGTGGAAACTGAGAGCAATAAGGAGAGTGACAACAAGAAAGGAAAGAACAACAAAAGAAAAGGGAGACAAGGCTCAGAGTCGTCAAAGAAGCAACAGACAGTGACAGTCAATGCTGCAACCACCCCAGTACCCTCCACACCACATGCTCCAGCCTCAGCTAATCCAAGTGCCCCTAGGCAGTATTCTGGGAATCTCCCAA